CACACACACACACACACACACACAGACCTGCTCATTCATTCCCAGCTGCTTCTCATCTCGTCATCCTCTCTTCCCCTCACCTCTTCCTACCTTCTGCATCTAGACTCTCTATTTGTAGCCTGCCTCTTCCCCTTGTTCTCTGCCAGAGTATTGACTATGCACCGACGTACCTGTACCTGCTGTCTCGTTTCTCCTGCCCTGCCTTGTCGTGTTCGTGCCTTACGGCGTGGCCCGAGTCCAAACCTCTGTTCCACCCAGCCTCCCGTATGACGTGGGCGACCTGCTGTCTGGAGTGCTCTACCTTCGCCCTGGAGCTCGTTCCCTGCACTCTCCGGGATTCCCCGTCGCCGGCCAAGCGCCCGCACCTCTCCTTTGGTGCCATTTTGTTTTTGGGCATTCCTGGCGCGTTTCCAACCAGGGGTACGGGTCGTGAAGAAGGTACTAAAAAAGAACATGAGGGAAGCTGGTCTTGGTGAAACGGAGAGTGAAGAAAAGGAAGATGGGGAGCCAAAGGAAAGAACGCTAAATGTAGTGATACGATTTGAAGGAAAAGGAGGAGTTCGGAAGATGGACCCATTAAAATTGACCAGGATAATGAGAGCACAAATATACAACATACAGTGAAATATGCAAGGGACTTAGAATTAGTAGTAGAGAAAAAGGAAACGGAAACCATTCTGGTAAAATTTGATATAAAAGACGCCCCAACCGAACTGTATTTTGGATTTATTAAATATAAAGTAAAGGAGTTTACAAAACCAATGAGATGTTTAAATGTCAAAAATTTGGGCATGTGCGTAACAATGAAGCCCAAGTGACAGTGGAGGCAGAAATAAATCATGGAATCAGGGTAAGGGCAGAAAAGGAGAAGCTGGTGACTGTTAGGTCTGTTGCGACCCCCGGGTGGTCTAGGGGTGAGGGGACCATAAACATATGGGCAGAACCTGGTCGGTTGTAAAAGGGTAGTGTTTATTGGGAACCAGAGGTAGACAGGCAGGTATCAACAAACAAAAGGAGGGTGGATGAGGGTGCTGTGAAAAGACAAACCAAGTTAAATAAAAGAGATCCCCAAAAGGAGGACTATGGCCGAATATACATTTAAACAAACGGTAGGCTCTTACCAAAAAACACAAGGACCACAGCACCCACTACACCTATGAAGCTAACAGGCACAGAAACTACGTGTGGTGAATCAGTACCGACTCTTGCCCCAACTCCCCCCTTTTGTCAGCCCCGTGCTGGTAAAAACACACGAGAACCAAAACACAGTACTTTACTCAGTTGCACACAAATACACACACGGGAGGCACACAAGTCCACTGGCCATGACGAGCTGCCGAGGGGCCACTGGTGGGCTCTCCTTAAGAGCTGGAGGTAAGGCTGCGATGGAGACGTGCCATTGGGTGCGCTGGGACAGGGTGGACCAATGGGTGGAGCTGGAGTGAACCTGACAGAGCTCCACCGAAACCAGGAAGTAGGCGGGGCTTCAGTCCACAGGGCCGCACAGCCTACTTGGTACAGACAAGAGAAGACAGAAATACAGATTACGGTGACAGCTGTGACAGGTCGTAGTTAGAAACCACAAACCCTGCTGATTACACCAGAGAACAATCACAGCACGAGAAACCGACACTCAGTCGACTTGTAAGTTTTACTTGCTGCACGTGGAGCCCGGTCAAGAATCAAGAGTACAAGGCCCTTCACTCAATCACTGCCAACTCCGACTAGACTTCCCCATGCAGTCTCCTTTTATTGAGGTAGTGAACTATGTAAGCATGATGATTTGACACTTGTTTGTTAAAAAGATCAGTAGTACAGCAGTAATAGCAAAAGGCATTGTACACCAAACTGGGTATGTGGACTCGAGGTTTAAAACAGCTTACACAGGTGAATGTATGTGTGTGTAAGGTAACGTATGAGTGTGTGCAAATGTGTCTTGGACTTTCTTCCTATATATTGAGTTGCTTTTCAGTCTGGTTGAGAAAATACAGTTGAGTCCACCGTTTTCTGTTCTAACGCAATTAAACCAGGACAATGAAACAGTATATTGCGTGGATAATAGCACAATAA